ATTAAGGATATCAAAAACTCACATCTATCACACTGGGCCTGCCAAATGCCCAAATGTGCTCAACGTGGTGACTGCTGTTGGCAGAGAACTCACTACCATGTTGTGCAGCCCATTCTCCTGCGGGACAGCTGATGCTGGGAGGCTGTTAGAAAGTCCTCCCCCTGCTCCTTGCATTAGGTCAAAATCTGCCTCCTTAGTCTTCAGCCACTGGTCTCAGTTCTGCCCTCCTGGGACACTATCTCTAGGTTCACCTCTCCAAGCTAAGACCTCTGGGTCTGCCAATCTTCTTTGGTTTTGCAACCATTTGTTGCATGTTCCAGGTGTAGTGTTAGAAAAAACAACACGCAAAACCCAGGTCCCGCCCTGCAGCTCGCAGCCTAGTGGTGAGCAGGCAACTGTAAGAGTTGCTGAGAAAAGGGCTTCAAATGGGACCCTGAGAGCACCTGGGAGAACCACCCATCCTACTCCTGTGGGATCACAGAAGGCTTCCTGAAGGAGACAATGTCTGAGGCCAGAGGCCTGGTGGCCTGTAGTTGGCCTGGTGAAGAGGTGGGAGGAGGGGAATAGCACCTTCCTGCAAAGGCGCCTCAGGTAAGGGGTGATAGCCTTTCATTGAATTACATGTAGCTCATATAACTGGAGCTTAAAGCAAGAAGACAGCGACTAGGAAGACATTACCCTCCTCCTTCTTCTAATTGATATTGTCTGGTTCTGGGAGGCTTAATCTAGGATGCAAGAACCTTCTGAAATTATAAGCAAAATTTTGCACATAGGTGCATATGTATGTTTTCTTGGAAAGAGAGTCTACAGCTGGCAGCAAATCCTCAAAGCGGTCATTAAGTTAAAAATGTTAGGAATTGTTGAGCTAGAATGTCCATGTCTCTTAAAATGTGGCACCTGAACCTAACACAAGTACCAGTTCGTAGCGCCCTCCCTCCATCAGGACATCCCAGGCCTACCAACGTAGCCTAAGAACACACAAGCTTTTGGAGTAAATTCACACGTAGGCTGTGGTCAGCCAAGTCCCTGGTATCATTATGACGTGCATTCTGCCCAATTCTCTCTGCCCTGTTCTTGGTCATTTCTTGTTGAAGTTAAAGGCAGGACTTTTACATTAATCCCTGTCAAATGTCACCCTCTCTGATGATCATTAACAGTAAAGCGAATGGCAATGGCTAACATGTGTTGAACACTCTCATTGCCAGGCGCCATGCTAAATGCTAGCACATTCTACCTCATTCCATTCCCCAACAGGCCTGTAAAGAAGATACTATCTCCATTTTCTAGATGAGGAAACTGAGCTTCAGAGAGAGCAAGGAACTTACTAAAGGTGACTAAGCTAGGATCTGAGAATGTAAAGGAAAAATAAAAATCTCAGGACCCCCCCAAAATTCATGATGCCAAAAGGGAGAACTGAGCCTGAGAACTGAGTCACACAAGCACTGCCATCCTCTCCCCAGGGAGGCACAGGGGTCATCTTTTAAGAGGTGAAGGGGCTTAGAGAAAATGACTAAACAGGGTTTTTGGTGGACAGGTTGTGGGAGGGAGAAAGGAAGCCCATTCCCCTGTCAAGGTGGTCTTGTTATGCAGACACACCTCAAAACAAGAGCCCTCGGGGAAATAGTTTCATTAAAGCCTTTCGGGGTGTCAGACTCAGCACCCTGTCCCAGGCCAAATAGGCCGGGCCTGGCTGCATTTAGCAGAGATTCTCTGCAGATCTCCCCCAGGCCCCACCTAGACAGCCACACGGAACATTCCTGTTTGCCCACAACCATCTCAAAATATGTCAAAGAAATGTTTTGGGGGGCAAAATATTTCTTATTTCCTTCATCCCTAAAAAAACCCCTTCAAGATATACAGTCCCCATAAAATGAGTGTATGTCAATTACAACCTTAAGACTGTAGCCTAAATATCTCTTAAATATTGATTAAAAGTTTATCTCCACAGATGCAAACCAAGAAAAGGATATGATCACTCACCTACCCACCCTGGGGAGACACCAACATTGACTACCTCCTCTACCCCCTTTTATGAATGTTCATCTTACCATGTAGATTTACCGAGCACCACACAGAACGTCACAAGAAAACCATCAGCTGTTTCACTGCTCGCCTCCCTAACCTCCCTTTTTCCTGTGCACCCCCTTTTTCCTTTAAATGCAAAGTTCCCAACCTCGTCTACGGAGAGCTCAGTCCATAATAGTTACTCGGTGAGCTGCGCTTTTCCCGGACACATCCTCAAAATCTTGGCTTAATAAGCCTTGGTTGAGCATAACTCTCATTTTCAGGCACTTACTATTTAAGTTAACAAGCACAAACTCTCAGCTATCAAACTATAACAGACTCCAGTATTTCTTCTCTTTAACCACCCTGCCCTAGTCCAGAGACTCGGTTTCACACCCAGTTCCCCGTCTGCAATCTTTTCCCTACACGCTGGCACCGAAATTAATTTCCCTAAAACTATCAAATCAAGTCTGAACCTCTCATACTATGTTTGAATATACTTTATCATTTAAAAAACATGCAACTCACTGGTTTAAAATCCCAATATATGTGCAGTCCCTTTTTAGCTGCCTTGGAACATGGCTCTAAAGTGGGCTTCTCCCCGTCGCCAGGGTCTGTCAGGCAGCGGTCCTCAGTGTTTGTCTCCGCAACCAGCTGTCCCACATACAGCTCCCCGGTCAGGAGGTAGTAGACGTGCTAAAAGAGAGAGAGGGAGCTGCGGTGGCGTGGCGGGGGCGGGGCGCAGGGGAGGCCTTCGCCTCACAGAGGGACGAAGACTGCTCTTGGGTCCCTGAGACACTCAGTCACATGGGGAGCACTGGACTGTCCCGGGCAGCAAGGAGCCGCCTCTGCTACCTACCCCGCAGCCCCAGTTGATTCCAGGAGGGGGACAGGGGACACTTAGCCTGCTTCCTTCCCTATGAGGGCCACAACGGCACCCTAGCTTGCACGGATGAGGGAGCTTGTCTTCGAAGAAAAAACACAACTGAACTTCAGAACTGTAAGCCCCAGCTATGGGCTTGTCAGGAAACCTCTGAAGTCCCGGCCTGCCACAACCTTGCTCAGTGAGCTTGGACAAGTAGGTCGTTTCTATGTCGCAGTTTTCTCACCCACGTGGAAATGGTATCTATTGTGTATACCTCAAAAGGTTCCCGTGAGGGCAACATGCAAGGTAGGACACTAGAAAGGAATATTCTCTGTAAAAAATAATTCCCGGGGCCGTAGCTTCCAGTGGGTGCCAGAGCTCTTCCATCCCTTGGAGGAACGTCCATCCGTCTCTCTCTCCTCTGCCCGCTGTTTCACTCTCTGCAGAGAAGCACAGGCGGCTTCGCCTGTCCACTTTTGAGGCATACGGGGAGCAGCGGAAGGGGTGGGAGGTGGTTGTCAATAAAGACATTACCACGGAGAATGAATTCGACAGAGCGGGGCCTTTCTACCTATCCTCCCTGTGCCTGAAACAGAACTATCTCGCCATGACTTTTGGGGTGAACTAGGAAGTGCTCTGTTACGAGCGCAGGTCTGGTTTCACCCTTCCCGTTCCCGGCTGCTCAGCTCCCACCTCCCATCGTCTGACACCGAGTCTGAGTCTGGCAAAGGTTGCCAGGGGCTGAGCCCCCACAGACGCGGCCTGGCGGGCAGGGAAGGCTGTGGAGATACCTGCGAACTGAACCCATGGCAGGGATGCAGGATGGGCGTGTGGCCCGGGACAGGGCCCTGATCCAGGCAGACATTTTCATCCAACAGGTTTCTCATCTGAAGGGGCAAAACACATGGCAACGCTATTGGAAAGAGCCAGAGAAAGAGGGCCCCCGCCGCCCCAGGGCCTGCATTTTCCCCAATATGCCAAGGGTGCCAGGAGCCACCATCCCAAAGGAACAGAGGGCAGGGCCCTGGCAGCCATTTTCTATGCTCTGGGAAACACACACATGCTAACTGGGGGCCGCTTCAGTGCCCACCTCCTGGGAACACCCACGCCTCAACCCATCACCCCACACACAGGGAGCCCCTGTGGAGTTCGTGTGGGCAAGGCCAGACACTCTGGTTGGTTGGGAAACCAAGAGGGTCGGGGCAAGGGCTGCAGTTTGCAAAGGGACTAGAAGCAGAGAGAAGGAAAAGAGACGGGGACTGGGGAGCAAGAGATGAAAGGAAGCAAAAGGTCCAAGGGCAAAGGGGGGGGTCGGAGAGGAGTCTTGGGCAGGATAGATTCTGGAAACCTTCAGCTGGGCAGTCCTTTGATTCAGGTTCCATTGTCTTTTGCAATCAAACATTCAAAATCTAAAATGCAATTTCATAATACATACTGTCCCATAGCCCACGACGCCGTGGATTGGCTTCAGGACTGGATAAACATTTTTCAGGTACCAGTCAAAAGTTTTACATTTCAGTTTCTCCCGGAGGGCCATTCTGGAAGAAACGTCTCCAAAATCGATTCCGGAGTTCTGTAAACGAAACACCAAGCATTTCTGTGCCTTGAGCCATGAAGCCTCATCGACTCCGCCAATGGGTATGGACCACATGCAAGGGGACTGAGTATCTTCCTTGGAGCCTGTGACGTAGGCTGGATGTTTTATATTTCCAGGGATAGTGGAGAAACCTTGACCCTAGAAACCTCGGCTGGTTTCAAAGACATTTGCAAGGACTGCTTAGTGGGGCTGGTTGGGTTTATTTCTCATCATAGCAAGCCGATGCAGACTGTTCCTATTTGAGATGTTTATATCAATAAGGCACAAAACTCTCTCATGATAACCACAAAAAGGCTTTCAAAAAGGAATATTCTAGCACCAAAATTTGGAGGTTAAAAGAGGCTTTTTAGAAGTAATATTTGTGGGGAATCAAAGTGAAAGAATACTAAAATGGCAAAATTGAGAAGGAAATGCAAACGTCACTTGTGTATCTGCCCGCTTCCCAGAACCTCCGTTGTGGTTTGTTTCAGATTGGCCCTTGTAAAAGTTTCGATCATTCCTTGTAGAAGTTCACTGATTGAGGGACAGTTCTCTCTACAGTTTGGGACAGTCATAGTATGACTCTGTAGGGATAAGAAAGCTAAGGGTGTCCTGGAGGAGTCTTGTTTTCTATCACACCTGGGTATACTGGGACCCCGGCATAAATTCCTGTCCATCTCATCAAACGATGAGCTAACTCTAGGTTACCGGCACCTTGGGTTGTTTGGGGAAGGATTTTGGTGACTTTGAACTTTACAGAAGGCTCAGGCATTTCTTCGTGTTTTCACATTCTCCAGACCTAGTGCTCCCAGTGTTAACCCAGCTCCTGGCCCTATCTCATTTCCAGACTTTCCTTCCTAGACCCATTCCTCAGTTACCCACCATCCTGCCTTCCTGGGGCTACTCTAGGACCCACTGTGATGGAGGGGAACAGTCTGCCAGTGAGGTGACTGCCCCTGTCACAGCTCAACATGCTGGAGCCCAGGGGCAGAACTCAGGAATGGAAGACGGCACAGCACATCTATCTCAGGTGGCCACGGCAGAAGACATGGCTTAGCTACGAATGGAACATGGAATTTAGAAGCCAGACTTTCTTGGTTTAAATCTTACTCCCTGTATTACCTTAAACAAGTTCCTTTCAACTCTCTGTGCCTCCGTTTCCTCATCTGTAAAACTTAGAATATAAAAATAAAACTTACCCCATAGGTATGTTGAGATGGTTAATGAGTTAATATATAAAACAGTGCCTGGAACATAGTACTATACTGTTACATAAATGTTAAGTGCCATTACTATCATACCATGGGACCTTACCCTAATTCTTTAGGGCTGAAATGGCATTTTGCTTTACTCCTTCCCATTCCCCGCCCCCCCAAATCACCATCTCCTCCTCTTCCAGTCTTCCCTGCTTCTGTTCAATTCCATGACAAACCTGGAGAGGTATGTTCCAGGCCAGGTAGACCATGTCTTTGTACTCATCCATCCAGACTTCGGCCACTCGCAGAGCATTGCGCTTCAAGGCAGGGCTCAGATCCAAGGCGTAGGGCTTGTGGTGTCTCTCTAGGTGAGCAATCCGGGAGCAGGGTAAGATCTCAATCTTCCCTCCACACTGCCACACCTGCAAGACAAGAGAAAAAGTCACCTGCACGGGCTGGACTTCACAGTCAATGAGTGGCATAGCTTGTTTGCACAGGGAGACCGCATTTTGGAACCGTTTTTTAAAGAATGTGAGTTCACTTCCGCTTTTATGTTCCTTCCCAGCCTACTTATCTAAATCATCCTTCCTTAGAATTCTACCAAACCGCTTCTCTTTTGTCATTCAAACCATTCCTGAAATCCTACCTCCTTCAGGAAGTCCTCCTAAAGGACAAAAGGAGAGGCCACCTTGGCTACCTACCCCCACGGGAAGTGCCCAAGTCGTGGGAGGCGCCATGCCCTGAGCCACTCTTGCAGGCCTTAGCTTCTCATGACTTTCTCTGTCTTCATGCCAGAGAGAGGGCAGCAAGGCAAACAGACCCCGAGGTGGCCCCACGAGCCCTCCTCCTGGTGTCTACATCCTTGACTAATCCCCTCCCCTCGAGTCTGGCCTGTGACTGCTTCTCACAGTAGAATATGGCAAAGGCGACAGGGTGTACGCGATCACATGTATGTGATTGCATTATGTAATTACGTAATTCCATTACATAAGATTGCAGTGTCCATCTTGCCAGGAGATGCTCTCTCGCTGGTTTTGAAGAAGCAAGCTGCCACATTGTGAGCTAGTGCAAGGAGAGGGCCATGGGGCAAGAGACTAAGAGTGGTTTCCAACTGACAGCCTGTGAAAACTGAACGCTTCCTCGGTCTGGAAGACTTCAAGGAACTGAATGAGCTTGAAAGCAGATCCATCCCCAGTCAGGCCTAGATGAGAAGCCATTCCTGGCTGACACTTTGCAGCCTTGCAGAGGACTCAGCTAAGCTGTGCATGGACTTCTGGCCCACGAAAACTATGAGATGATGAGTAGCTCTTGCTTTAAGACACTAAATTCGTATAATATTGTTGCATCGCAATGTGTGGCTGGCTAATTTAAGTGATTCTTGATCTAGAGACACCATGGCTTATGACCCAATTATAAATATTCTTCCTTACTGTGCTGATGGGTACAAATACACTTGTCAGAACGAATACGTAGCTTAATACGGTCTTCATCCCAATAGATAATAGAACTATCTAATAATATTGGATTGATTACATGGCTCCTGTGTCTTCTCTCCCTGGCTGCCTGTGTGAGCTGCAGTTTCTGGGAGTTAATCAGCCCACCTAGCGGTGGTCAGCAACCTCCCACACTCACGCCAGGGGGAGCCCCTGAGATGAGGGTGAGTGGCTGGGACCCTGCTGGTTCAGTTGACATATCAAAAGAGTGTCCACCTGAAAAGTAGTTTCTTCATCCCTTCCTGCATTCTTAACCCACGGGTTCCCCTTCCTCAGCACCCCACAACCCAGAACAGTAGAATGAAAAAAAGCTAGGCTTTGCAGTCAGACTGGCTGTGTTTAAATCCTGACTCCGTCACTGCACACCTGGCAGAGGTAAAACACTAGAAGTAAAACACTCACCCTCGCCGAGCCTCAACTTACTCATCTGCTAAAAGGACACATCCACCATTTGGGCTGTGAGCGGGATTACATGGCTTAACAAGCACTCGGTCACGGCAGCCTCTAAGGTCAACCTGAGGCATATCTTTTCTTCCATTGTCCTTCTCTGCGTCTCCTCCTTGGTCTCCATGATCATGGGAAGGTTACATCCAGTTTGTTTTCAGATACTGTTATCCTCTCCAGTCAAACATTCAAAAATCCAAAGACAACTTCACTTCAATTTTCCTAGTTGATGGAGGTTTTCAACCCACAGGAATTTAGGGGAGAAAAATTAACTGTTGGCACAAGGAGCCTTAAATTTGAGTTGAAAGCCAGGATTGCCATTTATGATGTAATGTTAATGATTATCCTTGCCCGGTGGTTTTCAAACTCTGCTCTTCCAATTTATTTCCATTTGCCAAACTCCTTCCATCGCCTCTCTCTCTCTCTCTCTCTCTCTCTCTCTCTCTCTCTCTCTCCCTCTCTCTCTGACATACACACAGAGACATGAAGCTTCTGGAAATAATAATGCATAACTTTGTGTCACACATTCTCCTAATACTGTCCATGAATTTAACCCTCACGGGGCAGGTATTGTGATTATCCCCCTTTAAGAAACTTGCCCACATTTATCAGCTAACTGACAGAGCTGGATTCTGAACCCAGGCAGGTCACAGGTTAAGCTTGGGCGCAGTGTCAGGAATACGGAACGTGCTTGACAAACGCTGGTTTTGCTTTCCTGCATCTCCCTGTACACACATCCATGAGCACCCTCCCTGCTGTGGCCACTAGATGTCAGAGCAAAGCCCTGCATGCAGCTCCGATGCTCTCCAAGATCTGTTCCCGGAGAAAGATCCTAGAAAGCCCTTAGAAGTTTGAAAAGGCAGATAGTCACACACAAAGCAAGGAACCCGGATGTCAGCAGAACTATTTGATCCAAGAAAAGGGAAAGAATGACCCTTCCCCTGACACTACCTATATTTTAAACAAAGTCCATTTTTTTAAAAAAAAATCACAAAATTTTAAAAGAAATAGGATTTCTTGTGGAAACTGAAATGGCAGGATTCTACATGTGTTTGGGAGAATAAAAACAGAGAGAGCCATCTAGATGCAAAAGGGGAGAGCAAAGCATGAGGAAGTCAGAAATAATGATGGCTTTTAGTCCTAAGTTGAAGAACTGGGGTTCCAGCCAAATTCATCCAAAACTCTGGTAAGTAGAAAACACCCAGCCACAGCATAACCAGGGCCATCTTCAGGACTTTGCTAAGTATCATGTATAAAATGATTATTTTTGCATCTATATTTTTGTGCTAGAGACTAACTGTACTGCCCTCCTCAATATCTACTCTCCTGGACACCTACAGCTGTAGCAGGAATAACGGGCACGCAACCGGCCAGCTGGAGTCTGCATTTCCCACACTGCTTTGCACGCAGGTGTGGCCAGTGACTAGGCAGTGGCCACTGGAAAGTGAGAAGAATCGAAGTGCACAACTTTCAGGTAGTGCCCTTTAAAAGGGGGGGGGGCATGCTCTTTTTCCTTCCTACTGGCTAAAACACAGATGTGGTGTCAAGTGTAGCAGAACCGCAGAATAAAAGAATCTTGGTCCTCACCATAATGTTTCCACAGCAATTCTGAACTGCTTGTGTTCAAACTGTTACAGGGAGAAAAAATTAATTTCTATCTTGTTTAAGCCTCTGTTATTTTAGCCTCTGTCACAGAAGCTGAACACGCATTCTAGTTAATATCTTTATAAAATCATTTCAGATTCGTTATTATGTTTTGATTGCACCATCATCCTTACGCGGTACATTAAACAAAGATGCTTCTCTTCACTTACGAGTGGGAAAACTGATCAAGACTGAATGATTGCGGCTTAACGTGTAACCCAGACAAGAATCGACGTTCATTTGTTAACACAAATGTGGGGCCTTGAGTGGGTCCTAATTGGGTACGATATATGGCTGTATGGCCATCAGTCTCATTTAGAAAGACACTGAAGAAAGTGGAACTGAAGAAACCCTAGATAGGAAACTGTCTTGTTCCTCCAGACACCACAATGGACCAAAGATCACCTAGTGTTAGGCACAGAATTCCAGAGCTGAGTGTTAGGCACAGAATTTCAGAGCTGAGAGGGGAGAAATCATTTCACAGAAGCTCAGTCCATGTCAGAGCCAGGACTAGAACTCAGGTCCAGCATTTTTTTCAATGCTATTTGACATTCTTATTACAAATTTTTACCATTAACCATTTATTGAGTGTAAGCCATGTGTCACTCACATGTTAGGTGCTTGATGTAGTGGGTGTGGCTTAGAGAATTTGTATGTGGCACAACCAGGATGGCACAGGCAGGCAGGATTTGGACTTAAGTCTGCCTGTCTCCAGTTCCTGTGCAATTTCCACTGCCTTATATTGCCTCTTTTAAGAGTTCAGGGCCGGGCGCGGTGGCTCACGCCTGTAATCCTAGCTCTCTGGGAGACCGATGCAGGAGGATTGTTTGAGCTCAGGAGTTCGAAACCAGCCTGAGCAAGAGCGAGACCCTGTCTCTACTAAAAATAGAAAGAGATTAATCAGACAACTAAAAATATATAGAAAAAATTAGCCGGGCATGGTGGCACATGCCTGTAGTCCCAGCTACTTGGGAGGCTGAGGCAGGAGGATCGCTTGAGCCCAGGAGTTTGAGGTTGCTGTGAGCTAGGCTAACGCCACGGCACTCTAGCCTGGGCAACAGAGTGAGACTCTGTCTCAAAAAAAAAAAAGTTCAGCCTTAGGCTGGAAGATGAAAGAAAATAAACTAACAAGAATAATCACAAACCCCAAGCATCGGCACCTTCTATTAAAAAGGCCCTATAGATTATACTGAAGACGTAAAAGGAATACTGTGAAAGGGATATCTTATGCATGAAATCTGTTCTAAATCGATTCTGACACATTGAATTTATTGGCCCTATGTCTTGACACCACTTTGGGCGTGGCCATTGACTTACGCTGAAATAGCATGCTACTTCCAAAGTTAGGCCTTAAGAGACCTCATGTGGTCCCACTTGTCCTCTTGTGTACCACAAGAAGAGCTTTCTTTCCCGAGGTAGCTGCTGCCCCATCAGGCTGAGAATGAATATGTGTGAAACAGAGCTACCCTATCCTATCCCTGGACCTGTAGATCCGTGAGAATCTATTATTATTCATTTAAGCCACCGAGTTTGGGGTGGTTTGTTATACAGCATTTTTTTTTTTGTCAACAGCTAACTGATACACTGATGTAATGTGAACCTGCACTTGGAATTTCTCTAGTTGTCTTGGTTTACACCTGAATTCCCTTATAGAGCACAAAAACTCAGGTTGTTCATTTGACCTAAACAAGCATAGGAAGCTGTCGGGGCAAGGAAGAGGCACCGCTGCTGGAGCGTGAAGCCAGCATTGTTGCAGACACACACAAATGGTCAGAGCGAGAAGTGGTTTGAGGATTTTCATGCTGTGCTGCCCACCTCTGGCTATTTGGCCTGGAGCAGACCATGTCTCAGCAGAACTCAGGCTACTGTGCCCACTGCTCCAGCTGTCTGTCCAAAAGCAGACTGGCTGCCCACATGCCTGCATTCCCTGGTCCCTCTGCACACTCCAGTTTTCTCTGTCTTTGGTTTTATAGAGAGCTGTCTGCCAAAGTTGGTTTATTCCAGGGGTTGCTTGGAAAATGCCCAGAGTCCTCAAGCAAAATAGAGACAACGTCTGCTTAGCCTCAGCTCCACCCCTTCCCCGATTCCACAGGCCTACACCAGGGAGCCGCACGCCGGAGGTCCTCTTGCCTACTCCTCCTTAACCCAGTGTCCTGGAAACAGGAGCATTTGCCCACCTCCTGAGCTAATGACATTCAGCCCCATCCTAGAATTCCAGAGATCCTACCACCTGCCTAGTATTTCTCCTCTGCTTTGTCCCATAAAGAGAAGGGAAATGTACCTACCCTTAGGCTGAGTTCCACGTTCTCTCCTCCATAGACCAGCATCCCACCATCCAGAGACCCGATCTCTCCCAGGAAGAGCCTGTCGGCAGCCAGGATGCCCATGATGGAAGGACTCCTGCAGAGCACACGGCAGGGCAGTCACTGCCTTCTCTAGGAGGCAGGGGGCAGAATGGAGGAGGGGCTGGGAAGCCAACGATACTTTGCCCTTCAAAACTCTACCTAAGTCTCTTCTTATCCTGAAGGCCTTCCCTAAACCCTCCGGCTGGACTAAGTGCATGTAACCCTTCTCAAATTACGTGTTTTTTATCCAGGTATTCCTACTTCCCAGCCTGAAAATGTTTGAAATGGTCCAAATACTTTCTAAAATGTTAAACGCTTTGCTTTATTTTTGCCTGAAAGCCCCTATAGAGAGCAAAGTGTCTGTGATTTCTTACCTGGGACCAGCTCATTGGGTTTCTCCCCCGTCCCTTGTCCTTCACCTCATCCCCTCCACTGCTCCGACCCCCCATCACTACCACCAAAGATAAACAAAACCCACGCAGCTCATTCCCACGTGCTACTCAAGGTGCCCGAGCGCACTCAGACTCACTTCACTGGCGCCGTGACATCGTGCAAATCAATCCAGGCTTGTGGCAGTGGATCGTAGCGGCACCACAGTTCCCAGTTAAATCCATCAACTGCCAAATCATACCTTTTCAGTTGAAAGGTGTCAAAACGAATGTTGTCAAACACGGGCGACACAATCACGGTGCGGTCTTCCTGAATCCGAGCCAGGATGGGCTCTGCCCTGGAAGAGCGTGCAGCAAGCCCAGCTGGAGCGTGAGGCCCAGCAGCAGGTCTGCCCACGCACCTTGCCCAACACTGAGTACTTTCCCCACTGAGGCTGCGCCAGGTTGGAGAGGACTCTGCAGAGTCCAGGGAATCTCTGTAGCTTTCGGGTAGCTGGGTTCGCTGGCAGCAGACCCACATCAAGAGCAGATTTAAAATTGGTGCCCAGTACCACCCCCCAGGCCATTGTGAACCAGGACTATCAGTACTCTGCCTAAATTTCCATGACCTCCCGGGTCTCTCTGTTTCCAAAATGATGCCTCTTTCCTGTGTGATTTCCCATATCCTCTGAAGAAAACAGCTCTCTTTATATCATGCAATTTCATGGCTGGGAAAAACCTTAGGAATCACCAAAGGGTAATTTCTTCATTTTACAGTTAAAGACACAAATGTCTGGTTAAGTGAAGTGACTTATGCAGAGTCACAAAGTATTTGGCAAAATCAGAGTCAGGATGCAGCTGTCAATACTCCCAGCCCATTGTTTTTTTCTCTAATCTACTCTACTTCTCCCTGGTTCTCCCGCCAACCAAAATCCCTGAGGAAAAGCAGGCTGTCTTTGGAGCTTCCCTTTGTTTCAGGTCTGGTGTTGATGCTCCCATTTCCATAATACCCTCTCTTGTATTCAGTACATGTACAGTATCTCTTTTCCACCCTTTCCCTGAAGAAGAAGCCTCCCGGCACCTTACCACCCAGCGTTCACTTCGACATGAGCATCCAATATGGCGACCACGTCCGCCGTGGCCGCTTCCCAGCCAGTGTTGCGTGCTTGAGCGAGGCCTTTCCTCTCGGTATGCCGTATTATTTTCAGTAGTCCTGGATGCTTCTGGTTGTAAATCTTAATCTTCTCATCCAAGTTTACCTTTAGTTCTCCTGCCAACCAAATGCACACCTATAGAAATTCTGGGCACGGCAATCAATATGGTGCAGAAGTGTCACACTATTACAGAACAGTAGTTGGACTACTTCCAGCATGGAGTGAGCAATTCCACGGTCTCAGATGAGATAATAGGTAGTACTTCCCCTGCACCTACCTCTCTTCTCCCTTCCACCTGAGGTTTAATATTTCCATTCCTGGTTTCCTTTCTCTCACTGTTACACTATCTTAGAATGATAACGCTGCTCGCAGTGAGCCAGGCAGTTATAAGTGCTTTTAACGTGTAAATTCTTACGAGAATGAGCAGAACAGACCTGGCCTAACTAAGGCAGAAATGCCGATGGACAACACTGGGGGGAAGCTTGGAGCATCTTCTTCACAGCTAAACTCTCAAGGCTTCTGGAGAATCCATAAACAACTAACGACGTAGTTTTGTTTTAGGTACTCCTAGTTGGACTACTCAAGGATCAACTGGGACAGAATTCACATACTAATCTGTTTGCCAGCTTCTTGCTAATGAGTTTACCCCCAAAATTATGCAAACAACATTCACTATTTCCATATCGTTTACAGGGATTTTCTTCCCTCTTTCTTTCAATAAAGCCTCTCTATGCCTTTGTTCTTTGACTCAGCCTGCCGCTGAATTCCCCACATGTATGAAAACAACTTGCGTGCAAATCAGTAAGCAGCACGCAGATATCTAACCAAATGACTCTGCGTTATTTATTGATAATATTAATTCATTTAATTCTGAAAGAATACTATGAGGTAGGCATTATAGTATCCCCACTTTACAGATGAAGAAACTGAGGCACAGAGAGGTTAAGAAATTTTCCAAGTCACACATCCAGCAGGTGGCAGTGCTGTCTTTAACCACCATGTCACTCTCCCTCAGAGCTCTGTGCATACCTGGTTGGGTTTCTCGAGCCCTCCCTCCAGGTCCTTTCTCCCCATGGCCAAAGAATGAAGTTCTTGCTGGTTCCTCTCTCAAAAGAGGAGCATATCTGTGAGACCTGCAGTGTTCAGGACCTGGAATCAGTACCTACGTGACTACGGCACCACAATCTCCCCCATTTGAGAACTTTCCCAGCTGCACTTGAGAGTGAGTGACTCAGTCACTGAAGGTGCTAAGCCAGTGGGTCTGAGACTGTTGGCTGCTGCCCACTGGGGTGAGCTGCGGATAGCCACGGTGGCTAGTCCCTGCACCCACTTAGCACTAATTTTAAAAAGCAAATAGGAGGAGTTGCCATAAAACCCGGATATCTAGACTCTGATACGATTACTACCTAGCTCTGTGTCACTTCCCATTTAGCAGTGTCTATTTGCTCAACTTAGAGAGAAGTACTAGGTAATCTGTCAGGACCCTTCCAACTCTAAAATTCTATGAGCCATAGATTCTGAGTCACCCTTTAGAAATAATGCCTATGGTCCAGCACAAGAATTAAAGATGTTTCAATGAATCTTCTAAAGTAAACCAGCATGGCCCTCCTACTGGTCCCCTCCCCAAACCCTTTATTCTAGGCTGGCCAACTCAGGATGCTTCTGGCTTCTGCATCTTTGCTCATACCGTTCTTTTTCCCCACTCCTTATCCCCAGCCCCCACCCCAGTTTCTGAGTCTTCTCTTGTTTTCTCTGCCTTTTCAAATCCTACCAAGCCTTCAAGTCTCAATTCAAGCCCCCTCCTCCAGGAAGCCTCCCTAGATCACCCCAGGCCCCTCTCTGGGCTTTCTTGCACTCACTGATGGCTCGCTCAATTTGACACAAAGTTCTTCCATAGGTATATCTTGCCTTGTCCATTAAGATGGAAACGTCTTGAAATCTCTGACAGCCTCTTCCCTGCACAGTGCCTGACACATGGTAGAAACTCAAAAAATAGTTGTCGATTGTGAAATTTGCCTAAAATTGGGGAGAAGATACAGCATCCCACTTACATTGATATAATTTCTAAAAAGTTAAGAATAGTTCTGCTGGTGCTCAAAACATTTGACTGATGTGAACCAAGCTTTCCATCTAGGGAAAGAAAGAAAGGGGCAGACCTCTGATACCAGGCCGTGGCATTTCAACAGTGCTACAAACAGCACCGCGGTAAGCAAGGAGCAGTAACGCCGGTCAGCATTTAACGGGAGCAAGCCCAGTCCTGAGGACTTTGCACATCTTATTTAAACCCCAGAATGGTCTTCTCAGGTAGGTACCGTTATTTCCCCCACATTACAGATGTGGAAACTGAGGCATGAAACAGTTGAGTGACTTGCCCCCAGAGTCACATGAGTAGTAAGTTTTTCTTACGACATGTGTTGTGGAGATGTCCAATTGTCTTCCTCATTTCAACACAGAGCGGATTTGTGATTTACACTCAGTATAGGCCCAATCGGGCTGAGGTTTCCACAGTTAGTGAGAGAGAAGCCAATTCCTGTCCGTGTGACACCAAAGAATGGCTGACTCTTCCTTCTTCTGTGCCTTCTTATGGAAAACAAAAATGCGTTCCAGACCCAAGCGAGAGGGATGTGCTGTGATGGAGATGCAGATTAGAACACGGAGAGCTTCACTCTGCTTCTCCTTGTCTGTCTACACTATGTTTGGAATCTTGCATCTTCTTATTTTATTGTCACAGAGGGAAACGTCTTGAATTTAGTCTTATCTGCCCCCAACCAGGGAACATGGAGTTAGAGACTAATTGATTTTTTTCTCCACAGAAAAAGATACCTTTAGTGGTCTTCCAGCTCAACTCTTGCATTTGCCCCATGAAGAAGCTGAGTCCCAGAGAGGCAGGAGGATTTGCCTGAGGGCGTCTCAGAGAGCCAGGGAGCAGAGCTCGGGCATCTTCAGATGCCCAGGGCAGAGGCCTTTCTAATAAAGCACCTATTTTTTTATTCACAAAACCAGGTATACAACTTGGAATCAGTCTCCATGCCAGAAGCAAATGAAACCAGCATTGTCTTTTCTTTGGTTTTCAGTGGAATTTTGCTCTAGTCATTGCACCTTCTTGTTCTTTCCTTAGTTACATTGGAAGGAGAATAGAGGAGAGTATGCAAAGGGTGAAGAGAAATATTTTTAGTGCCTGAAAATCCAAAAAGGAGAGGTTAAGTCATCATTTTTCTGTCTCTCTCTCCTCAGAGAGAACGTGAAGCTCCAGTATCTTGTCTGGTACTTAAAAAACCCCAGAGAAAGAGCAAATCCTGCCTCCAACGAGCCTCCACTTCATAGCCCTCGTAGTTAGAAAATTCTTCCTTACCGTTAGCCCGAATCGCTAATGTTTTGCTTCTGGTTTCATTTATTTGGTGAACAAAATTAATAAAACTAAGAGCTAACACTTGCCAAGAGGCTACCATGCGCTAAATCCTGTATATAATCCATGCAATGTATCCTGAACATAGTGGTTTGAGCCGCAGCTCCGGACTCTGAAGTTTATGGTCAAATCTCAATTCTCTCACTTACCATCTGTGTGATTCTTAGTGAGTTCCTTGACCAATCTGTGCCTTAGTTTTGTGCATCTGTGTAATGGGCAAAAAAGTGATTCCTTTCTCATAGGGTTGGCATAATGGTTAAAATAATTAACACATATACCGTGCTTAGAACAAATAATGTTCACGGCCTTTACTGTTTCATTTGATTCTTACTATAGTTCATGAGATAGTTATTATTATCAACAGCCATGGTTTGCATACAAGGAAACCAGGGCATGGAGAAGTTAAGTTACCCAAGGACATAGCACTGATAAGGGAGGATCTGGGATTATAAACTCACAGTGAGGACACAGGTCCACTGTCTCCCACGTCCCCATGTGTCCTCGATGGCTAGGCTAGACTGGGGCCAGGGGCTTCCTGTGAGCAAGAGACATTGCCTCTGTGAAGGGTCCCAGCCCCCAAAGCTCTCTTTTTCCAAGCTTAATGACCTGGGGAGATTGGTCTTTTCTTCATGAGGAGCAACTGTAAGTCCTTCCTGGTGTCTGAGGTCCTCCTTTAGACCCACCTCATCCCCTCAGGACTCCTCCATGGTGCGTGGAAGGGCACAGGTGACTTTGGAGTCACTCGGTCCTGGGCCTAACTCCCAGCCCCACCACTGACTCGCCATGCGATTTGGGCACACTCTGTGATCTCTCTGTGTCTTAGTTTCCTCATCTTCGTATCGAGATGATAATCCCCCACCTCAACTTTGTAAAGATTACATGTGGCCAGCAGGCAAAGACCCTCAACAAATGATTTTTCCCTTTTCCCTACATGAGAAACCAAGGTGGCCTAAACTAAAGCTAAACTAAGCTAAAACCTCTTGCCAGCCAAGCACAGACGATAAGTGATAATTTTTACAATGATTCTTTGATCAGGTCGCTCACCATTTGAGCTACAATCGTCCACCAAGATGATCTCCTTCAGTAATCGAGGGGGGGTCCGGTTGATGACACTGGTGATGGCCCGTTGTATAACGGACAGGGCTTCGTCCATGAATATGAGAATGACACTGAGGGAAGGGAGCTGTGAAGAGTACGTCTTCTGAAGACACCTACAAGAGACCATTTTTTATAATCTTATTTTTTAATTACTTCAACATTGCTATCCAATCTTCCCCTTCACTATGCATAATGTTAAACAACTCACCAACACCCCACACTCATTGGAAAGAGAGACCCTCGGTGGCTTATCACAATAGCAAGGAGATTTTATATTTGTTTATACAAAGTTCTTCTGCTATGGGGATAAAACCATTTCTTTTTTACTTATCAGTAGATATTTCCACTTAACACTCAATGTACTGCAAAAGGAATTCCCATTCCTCCTCCAACCCCACAGTAGCTTCCTTGCCAGCAGCCCTGTTTCTGCCATTGCCCCTGCCTTTACCCAAGTTCTCAGACCCCCAGTCGCCCTTGACACAGCCGTCTACTTCACCACTAGAGACAGGTGGCAAACTGTCTGTAGAATTGTGCTTGACATATTTTTTTAAGGTCCTATCCTACATTTATTAAATGCTTACCATATGCTAGGCACTGGGTTACCATTTTATTTTTACAGTTTTATTGAGCTATAATTGATTTACAAGAAACTGCATATATTTAACACACATATTAATTTGGTAAGTTTGGACATACACGTAACCCATGATATCATTGCCATAATCAAAGTAGTAAAGATATTTATCAACTCCAAACGTTTCCTTGTATTTCTTTGGAAGAGGTGCGGATGTGTGTGTGTGAGAGAGAGGGAGGGAGAGGAAGTGAGAGATAAGAACACTTGACATGGGATCGACCTTCTTAACAAATATTTAAGTGCACAACACTGTGTTGTTAACTATGGGCACTGTGTTGTTAACACTGTGCTGTACGGCAGACGTCTAGAACTTACTCATCATGTGTGACTATCACTGCATACCCATTGAACAACTCTCCATTGTTAAAACATCTTTACTGAGATACAATTCACATACAATAAGATTCACCGATTTAAAAGTATTTTTAATAAATGTTATAAATTCGTATAGCACTCACAGAGTTGAGTAGCCATTATCACTACTTTTCAGAGCATTTTCATCACATAAAAAAGAAACCTCATACCCACTGCCAGTCACTTTCTGTTCCTCCTCAACCCACCCCACCACTGCCCCCCTCAGCCACAGGCAACCACTAATCCACTTTCTATTTCTATAGAATTATTTATTCTGTAATTTTCATGTAAATAGAAATCTATAAAATATGGTCTTTACGACTGACTTCTTTCACTTAGCATGTTTTCAAGGTTCATTAATGTTATAACGTGTCAGTACTTCATTCCCATTTATTGTCAAATAACGTTCCATTATATGGATATACCATGTATTGTTTATCCATTCATCAGTTGCTGGACATTTAGGATGTTCCAATTTTTCAGCTATTATGACTAATGCTGCTATGAACATTCTCGAACAAGTTTTTTGTATTGTGTATGTTTTCATTTCTCTTATATACACACCTAAGAGTTTAATTGTTAAGTCACATGATAACTCTATGTTTAACAATGTAATGAACTGCCATACTATTTTCCAAAATGACTGCACCATTTTACATTACCACCAGCAATGAACGAGGGTTTCGATTTCTTCACATTTTCGACAACACTTGTTATTGTTTGTCATTTTGATAATAACCATCAGTGGGTGTGAAATGGTATCTCATGGGAGTTTTGGTTTCCATTCCCCTACTATGTTGAGCATCTCTTCATGTGCTTTTTGGCCATTTGTATATCTTTTTTGGAGAAATATCTAAGTCCTTTGCCTATTTTTAATTTGGTAATTTGTCTTTTTACTATTGAATTGTAAGAATTCTTTTTATATTCTAGATATAAGTACCTATCAAATATAATGGTTTACAAACATTTTCTACCATTCTGTGAGTAGTCTTTTCACTTTCTTGATAATATAATTTGAAGCAAAAATAATTCAGTTTTCATGAAGTCCAACTTTCCAATCTTCTCTTTTATAACTATGTTTTATAACTATGTTTTTGGTATATCTAAGAAACCATTACTAACCCATTATCTCCAAGATTGACTCCTGTGTTTCCTTCTAAGAGTTTTATAGGGGTTTGGGGGTTTTGTTTTGGTTTGGTTTTTTTGTTTGTTTGTTTGTTTTTGAGACAGGGTCTCACTCTGTCACCCAGGCTGGAGTATAGTGGCATCATATAGCTCACTGCAACCTCCAACTCCTGGGCTCAAGTGATCCTTCTGCCTGAGCCTCCTGAGTAGCTGGGACTACAGGTGTGCACCACCACACTTAGCTAATTTTTCTATTTTTTTGTGGAGACAGGGTCTTGCTCTTGCTCAGGCTGATCTCGAACTCCTGGCCTCAAGTGATCCTCCCCCCTTGGCTTACCAAAGTGCTAGGATTACGGGCATGAGCCACTGAGCCTATCTAAGTTCTATAGTTTTATGTCTTATATTTACATATGACCATTTTGGGTTAATATTTATGTATGGTGTGATGAGGGATCCAACTTCATTCTTTTGCATCTAGATATCCAGTTGTTCCAGCACCATTTGTTGAAGAAACTATTCTCTCCCTCATTGAATTATCTTGGCACCCTTGTCAAGAATCAATTGACCATCAATATAAGTGTTTATTTCTTTTCCCCCATGTTAAAGGCTAGAGTGAACTGAAGTTGAGTATTTCTCTTCCCCCATGTAGGTTAGTGTCTTAGTCCATTTTGTACTGCAATAACCGTATATCTGAGACTGGGTAACCTATAATGAACAGAAATTATTGGCTCCTAGTTCTGGAGGCTGGGAAGTCCAATATCAAGATGCTGACATCTCGCAAGGGCCTTCTTACTGCATCATAACATGGCAGAATGCATCACATGGCAGAGGGCCAAAGAGAGGGCGAGAGAGAGAAAGAGCAAGAAGAGGCAAGCCTGCTCCCCTGGTAATGAACCCATGCCCACAGTAACAGCGCAATAATGGCATTAGTTCGTTCATGAGAGTGGCGCCCTCATCATCTAAATACCTCTTAAAGGCCTCACCTCCCAATATCATCACAATGGCAATTAAATTTCAACGTGAGTTTTGGAGAGGACAAACATTCAAACCACATGAGTTAGGCTGTGATAAAACCCCACCAGGTCAGGCTCCAATAAAATAGTTTCTCCTGCAGGCAGGCCTTGTGAAGAAGAACAGAATGGTCTGGAATACTTCAAAATAGCTCCTTTCCCCTTTTCCCCACCACGCACAGGAGGGGATTTTTCTCTGATATTCACTGCGAGGGTCTGGTAGAGGTCCTGGAGGTAAAACTTACAAAAGTGCAGGGGCCCCTATAACTGGGGCTCCCGGGAGACAATTCTCAGAGTTGCCCACACTGAGCTTCCACAATTCAGCAATTTATAGTTTGGGCTTTCCTATCCCAGCACTGGTTGCCATGGAGGTTTCTGCTCTGGAAGTTGCTATCCTCTGTATTCATCGGATCATCTCTCCAATTCGAGGAGCAGCAGTTTGCCCTGTAACCTCATTTCTCTGACAGATCTAAGCAGAGCCATTAAGTTTTCAGTTTGCTTCTTACTTGTTGTTAGGACAGAAAGGCAACTTCTAAGCTCCTTACATGCCAGACCAGAAAATGAAAGTCAAACTCTTAATTTTTATTTTTGTACTTTTCGATTTCAGAATTAGCATTTGGCTCCTGTTTATAAATTATATCTCTTTATTGCTGGTGTCTATTTGATGAGACATTGCCATTATAATCCTCCTTTAATCCTTTAGACACAGCTTCCTTTAGTTCTTTGAATATATTTTTATATAATAGTGGCTTTGAAGTCAGTATCTGCTAAGCCCAATATCTGGGCCCCTTCTAATGCAGTTTCTGTTGTCTTATTTTCTCTTGTGCACGAGTTACACTTTCCTGTATCTTCGTATGTCGCATAATTTACTTCTGGAAACTTTTTATTTTAGACAACGTAGTCTAGCAACTCTGTTTATCAACCCAGGGGTTAATGTCATTGTCATTTGCTTGGTTGTTTATTCACTTGCTTAGTGACTTGGCTGAACTAATACGCAAAGTCTGCAAAGTTCATTTCTCCTGTAGTATTCAGCCTGTAATGCCCCGACCTTGATTTTTTTTTTTTCTGTTTTTCTCTTTTAGCCTGGCTACCTAGGGCTTGCCCCTGGGTTATCATAAGCCACTTAGTCATCAGAGGTTGTATCTAATCTAATCTAACCCCCTCGGCTGGTT